ATTACGTTTTAGAAAAAAAATGTTGCTAGGTCAAATAAAAAATCAATTTTTAATTGTTTTACATTTCTCTTCTTACTTCTCGTCTTGCAATAATTTCATATTAAATAAGAAAAAAAAATATTATAATATTTTTCATTCATGATTATTTTATAAATTAACCAGCTAAATTTTGTACATTTACTTAAACAAATAAATATTTTAGATGCTTAACGCGAAATTTTATATTATATACGAACCTATATGAAATATTATTCGTAATTAAAAGTTGAATTTCCTTTACTCAAAAATTCTTTATTTATGTTTATTAAATTGTGTTCTACGCAAGACCCCGTTTTAAAACTTATTATTGAAAGTTAGCCCTTTCAAAGAAACTAATTTCTCTGTGAAATCATTTTCAAATCTTTATTAACAAATAAACAGTGTTTTAGAACACAGACTTATTTATCAAACTATATACAATTCATTAAAAAAAATGAAATTGCTACTCATCTCTTTTCATATACAATATTCTTTATGATTTACTTTAAAATATTTCCTATATTGCGTGCAATGCAGTCGATAAAAATGTGTAGGCAAATATAGAATAGCAATATTTTCAAAAAGCATGCTGATTTGATTTTATATTTGAAAATAATGTTTTGTAACCTTTATCATTCTATCTGAACCAAATTTACAACTTGACACTGTGAAACAGCTCAAGTCGACCCAACAACTCAAAAGCGGTGTCAGCGGGCAACGTCAATGCTGTACCTGATAGATTCAACTATACCAAAGAGGACCAGAGAATTACAACAAATATAAAATAACGGTCATAGTCTATTGCTGTTGAACACAGTAAAATTCGAATTTTGTGTTAAAATTCGAATATTGATATTTTATGTAATTGTAAATTTTCTTAAAAATCTACAATTATATAAAAGCAGTGACATATGAACTCTACGATAAAAAAAAAAACTTCATACAAAATTTTTTTAAATTTTAATACAAATACGCGTGTAAGTGTACAAATAATTTGCATTTTGTGTTTTTTTGTTCAAAGAGATTTAATTGCAATTTTTCGAATTTAATTCGAACGGATGCTCTTTACACTTTATAGATAGCAATTATATAGAATTTATTAACACAAAATTCTATAAAATTTACAATAATAATTTTATTTTGCATGCGTAAAATTTTTTATCTGTAATTAGAACAACAATGGAATTTCAAAGCAAATTTTATACCCTTGAGCATATTATTTTTGTAATAATCAACAAGAATAATATTCAAAATAATTATATATGTTTATGTATATGGCTTCATAAGAATTTGATTTTTAAAACCGGATATCCAAATATACAATTCGTATATAATACATATAACAAACAGGTCGTTTAGAAACAAAATAATTAAAATATTTCATTAAAATTAAATTGATAAATAAAAAAAATTTTTAATTTAAAACATACAACGATAAAATATAATTTTAATTTATTATACAAATTTTGTAACACCTTTGTTAATTTATAGCCAGTATTTGCTATATAATAATAATAAAAATGTAAAATATAACAAAATAAAAATCGAAATTTTGAAATATCTATACCCATTTTAAAAGTGAATTTTATCAAAAAATTATATAATTATATATTACATATATATCTTGTATATACATATATATATTAGTATATATCACTAATGGAATTTTCAACACAACACCCACGATTTCTTCACCCTCTTATACATTTGAATTTAAGCATATAATATTATTACATACACATACATGCACATACATATATTTATATAACCTGTTTTTCTTCCTTTCATATATTGAAAATTCTTTAGAAAATTTTCAATTTTTAGTTTTACTTATAATCAAAATATGAGGAAGTTGGCGAATAAAAGCAAGTAATGTAAAGAAAAAATAGTATGTATTCTAAGTAAAGTTTATGTACATATATTAGTGTATGTATAAATGTGTAAAACTGTATGAGATCAAAAAGCATAAATAAATTATTTTGATTTGATTTTGATTCCTATAAATTCTTTTATACTCTTATTTTTTAAAATTATACTCATTCAAATTCATATTGTTTATTTTATATTACAATAATAATAAAATATGTATAACATTTCTTTGAATTTAATCAAGCGGAACGCAAAAGCTATATATATAAATGTTATTAAAACATTGTCTTAGAGTCAGGTCGATCATATTGTTTTGACTTTTATGCTCTAAAAGAGAAAATATTATAATAAAATTGACGAATAACCCTTGTTTTTGTGCCAACAACTTATACTTCTGATGCTGAAATTCGATTGTATACTATGTATATAAGTATGAAGTTGTATATATCTATTACATTATATTTTAATCGACAAAAAATTAGCAAATATTTTAGAAATAATTCATTTTTACTATAGGATATTTTTTTTATGCTTTAACATAGTTTTTCTTAACCGTGTATTTTACAATTTTAGATGAACAAAATAAATATCAATATAATGGGAATAGCACTATTTAGACTTACTCTTGAAGTTTAATTCAAATTAAAAGCAAATTTTTTTTTAAATAATTCTGTTTAATAATTAGTCTATTTCAAAATTATCAAGATAAAAAATCAAGTACTGTTTAAAGCGGTTTCCCAACAAAATTGGAAAAAGTGCTTATAAAAAGTTTTACTTTATGTCTGTCCTGCCGTCCGTGTATGTGTGTCAATTTAAAAAGCCACTAGATCCTTCAAAATAGAATGTTCAAGTTCTATATACTTGTATAGATACGAATTGATTTTTACAAAAAAAAAAACTATATTTTTAGGTTTTGAAAATGAAAAGATTTACCTACCTCCGCGCCCTTGAAAGTTATAATCTGTCAATATTCTAAAACTGGCCAATTTTTAACATTTTTCTTGATCAGAACCACAACTTACTTTTTTAATTAGTTTTTTAAAAATGTTAACATCTTTTTTTTTTTAGAGAGTAGTAAGTTGCCAGAAGCCTAAAAATTTTAACAGTTTGTAGAGATAAAGAAATGACGTTATTTTGTCGGAACAAATTTTTTTTTTCTACCTCCCTCTCCTTCCAAGTTTTCTTCTCAAAATTGGCAAAATTTCAATTTTCGACGTATTTTTTCCCAGTTTCCAAATCCAAATTTCCATGTACATAAAAGGTAATTTTTGTTCTTACTCCGAAAAGTATGCAATATTTTTTTTCATATTAATATGTTTGAAATAGATAGTTAACCAGCTAGTTTATGTAAAAGGCTACTTTGTAAAAGAAAAATATTTTGCTAAGATCTGTTTAGATCAAGGAATATATGGTACTTTACAGTTGTTCGATCCGAATTGTTGTTTTTCATTGTAAGTTTTTATTTTCAATTGAATATTTTACAAAGAAATGCAAAATATTTATACATTAGTTTTTTTAACCAAAAAATTATTTTTTCTTTAAAATTATTGTTTTTATAACTTCTCTCACGTAGTTAAAAGAGTATTTTACCGAATTAATTTTGATTATGCAATTATACTTTAAAAAACAAACATACAATTTGTGACTCTTGTTTGCATATAGCCCATTATATATTATTGAAATTCACAATAGTTATTAAACTTTCTCTATATCTACCATAATGAGGAAATCATCTATGAAAAAGAAAATTCCGGAAAACTATTTTTAAAATTGATTTGTTTTCAATTACTGTACATCAATTATTTTTTCCTCAATTGCGTATGTCTAGAAAATTTCTGATAGAAAAAAGAATAAGAGAACTAATTATTTTGACTCTGTCTTACTTTTTAAATAATCATAATTACAAGTTACATATTTACAAGACTTAGATACTATATAAACAAATAAAATTGATAATTTTTTACCATTATTATTCAGAACTGCTACTTTAAAAATTCTTGTTAAAGAGACTCGGAAGAAATGAAGGTTATTCAGTATTCATTCGGAAGAAATGAAGGAAGGACAGTATTCCTCCCTTTTTTCAATTACAAAACTGAATATGGATGGGAACTCGTAAAAACTCAAATTTTAATAATTATGCTCAGTTAATTTTAATATTATGCAAAATTTGAAAATTGGAAAAATCTCACTGTTTGAGCGCTTTTTTCTTTTAAACTATAATTCTTATCAATTTCTGTACATAATTTCTTATCAATTACATTCGTTTTCCTTACAAATTTCATTATAAACTTTTTTTTATTAATTGTACTTTAGAGAAGAATTTACTTCTATTTTTTTACTTTTTTGTAAAAGTTTTGCAAGCAAACACCCTACATATATGTATATTTTCACCCTATTTACAAGTAACGCGCGGTGGGTTTTGAAAATTTAATGCAAATGTTAAAATTATGGAATACCTGCAATTATATTACAAACCGAAAAGCAGTAACATTACACCCATATTAGAAACTTTTAATAAAAAAAAAATTATCTGTTGTAAATGTAGCATTCCTAAAATTCTTCCAAACTGAAATTTTTTTGTAACAAACAAGAAAATAAAAATAAAGTAAAACAATTCGACTGGGTAGTAGAGCAGGTCGTTGTCGTCATAATAGAGAATTACCTTGAATGCACAAGTAACGAACGAAAATTATTATACAGAGAGTAAAAAAAACACCAGAATATTATAGCATAATTTAATAAAAGACCATTACTTTTTTTTAACTTTATGAAAAAAAACAGATTTGAATAATTGCGCGGTAAATATAGATTTGAACACTCCAAACAATTTAATTTTTTTTTTCTTATTATCTTATTATACATAAGTACACATACTTACATATTATTTCTTACATATTTTTTTTTTTTTTTGTTTTTTTTTACTTCTTATTATCACTACCTATAATATGATATACAACAGGTAAGTCTGGATTAATATATTAATATAAAAATGCATGTAATATTATTTTTTATTATTTCTAAAAAGAAAATAATTCAAGAAACGGGGATATCAAGGTTTACCAGTGTATCTGATATAAAAGCGCTAAATAATATTTAATGGTGTACAGTCTGAACCAATTTCTTCGTCAGGAAGAAATATTTCCGTGAAATTTTGCGATATAAGAAATATTTATAATTTGTAAAGGCTAAAAAAATTTATTAATTAAGTTGAAATAAGAAAAAAAAAATTTTTTTTTTCTTATAATTTTTGTGTGTGTTTTATTTTTTCATTTTTTTTAGCAGTTTAACAAATTATTCCTAATTATATAATCATGTTTCAATACGTAAGTTAAATATACTTAAATATTTTAATAAATTAGTGATAAAATGCATAAATTTTTATTTCTAAATGCTTATTATAAGTATAGTGAAAGAATATATTGATTGTGTTTTTCTTATTTTAATTTTGTGCTACTTAAATTGGATTATGTGTTTTTTAAATTGAACTTTTAATAAAAGCACAATAAACATTACATATGTACATATATACATATATAGATAATTATGAGAATAATTATTTTTGAATAATTAAGCTTGTTGATTTGGTATTTAGTTTTACTTAAAATTTACAAGACAAAATTGTACGTACTTAAGTGCATATAACAATTACAAACAAGTGATTTTAATTTAATTACCAAAATTTATTATTAAATTTAATATCTTATCAAAATTTAGATTGATTACTTAAAATTTAAATGTTACAAATTGGTTTCGCTGAAACAACATAGAGTATTGTCAAATTTAAATCAAGCGTGCAATTTTCATTCAAATTGCTTTTTGCGATAATGATAAAGAATTGTTTTTCTAAAAATTATAATTTATACATATACATAATGTATATTATTTATTATAATTGACCCCTTATAAAATTGCAATAATTTAGATTATAATTGAGATTTCTTATACAAAGCTCTCATAAAATATTTACTGCACCCTTCTCTTTGTCTGTATAAATTAAATTGCTCTTTTATATTAATTTTTTTTTTTGAATTTCTATTTTTCTTTTTTGGCTAAATTTTTTTCTGTGTAAATTTATTATTATTTCAAAATGATCAGGCGTTTAATCTCATCTCAATAACATGATATTAAAAAAATAAAAAAGTGCAAAACAAATAATAATAAATTTATTTTTTAGTTTTAATCTCATTTCAATCAAAAAAAAAATTTTTAATTTAACCATGAGATTTTAGTACAATCTTATAATGAATTTTTAACTAAAACGTAAGGTGCTTTTGTTTTAAAATTTTGTACTTGTAAAGAAACTATAAGATTACGTAATATTTACTCAGGTACATTATTGCAAACGCCTACAATATAAAGAAAATTAATAGTTTTAACTTTTGTTTTCGTTATTTCGTTCCCCATTATGTTAAAAGTACTGTTATTTAATACTATTAAAAACAGAGTTAGAAATAATTACAAAATTTTTAAAAAGTCAAAGTACAATTAGTTAAGTATTTAATTTTTAGGAAATTATTGAGGATTTTTTATTATTTTAAGATTTATAAATAATTTTGTCCTACTCATAGCAGCGAAATATATCGGAATACAAAAATATGCACTTATGTCTATGTACAATATATTATGAAATATATTGCAAATGAATTTTAATTTTTTAAAATTAAGTAATACAAGAAGAATAGTTTTTGCTAAAGAACTACAAAAACCATCTTTTATAACTTGGACTCTCGCAACTTCAGAATCATACTATTTACATTTCCAACATTAATTTTTATTGTTTACATCAAATATTAGTTTATTATGTGACAAATATAACAAAAAGATTAATTTGGAATAATTACGACATTATCGTATTTAAGGAACCAAAATAAATAAGCAAGATCTAAACCAAGCTATTGTAAACTCTATATTTAAAATTTTAAAGCTATTATAACTATGTACATACAAATATACATTTCCTTATGAATATACAAATGCCATTTATTATAGTCAACAAAATTGACACTCAAAAAATAACTTGTAAAATAATTTTGTCAAAAACAATGCCAAAACACAAAAAAAAATTCTATTATTAAATTATTTTTCTTAAGGCGTTAATTACGGTAGAACAATGCATCACGTTGGCAAACTGCATTTTCAACCTTGATCATCAAGTTTTACTGTTTTTTTTATCTTCTGTAAACTTTTATTATTATACTGTTTTATATACATAAAGATTACAATACGTGTACATACATATAATATGCACTTACATATATATATAGATAAACATAAATTATGAGTTCAAGAAAACAAGAAATAGAGGAATAAAAAAAAGAGGATGAAATACCAGTTTTTGTTGTTCAAGGCCACTTCCTTATTTTATTGAAAGTAAAAATAAGCTCAATTAATTGTAACACTAAAAGCATTAAAGATAAAAATGTGCATTATATGTATATACTGTTATAAAAAAAATGCGTTTATATAACAAATTTAATTTCAAATATAATTTACACGATTTCATATATGCTTGCATATTGCGTGCACATAAATGTGGGAATATCAAAAATGCAAAATGGTGCAATAAATTATAATTTCAAGTAAATAATTTTACAGTTAATTAATTGTATATCAAGGCCGATTTTGATTACTTTATTTGACTTGTACGCTCATGTAATTTTAATTTGATTTTAATGTATATTTGTTTTTAATTAACATTGTTGAAAGCTTTGCAAAATAAACGCATTTTTTTATGTTTTAAATTCAAGAAACTTTCATTTTACATATATAACTTAAAATTCTTTTCTAATCTTAAAAAATTCCTGTGTATATCTCGTTAGAATGTTATACATTAACTCAAATACAGCCATGTTGCAAATTCTATATTAGTATATTTTTGGATATTATAAATTGTGGAGTTATTATTTTACTTCTATATGCATAAATAAGTGCATTTTGTATTTTTTGTTTTAGTATAACAACAGGTTCCTAATATTAGTTCCGATGTCGCGGGTGGTTCAGAATGTATAAGAAATTTTATCTCATAAAATCATAAATTTTTCAATAATGTTTTTCCTTTTATGGAATACATATTTTAAATTCAATAAAAATATTTCAATTATTTATTGCTTTTAAATACAAATTTCATTTACTCGCTATATTAACCTCTATATAATAATTTCAAAATTACAATATCAAAATAACTTGCATGACTGAACATTGGCATGATCTATATTTATTTTTTATTATTATTATTATTTTAATACAAATTTTTTAATTCTGTTATAATACTTGCATATTATTTAATTTTTAATACAAAGATTTTTCAAAATCTATTATGTGTTATATTTGCATAATATGCACTTGTACTAATATGACCATACATATACTTTATATGTAACACTAAGAAACACATATAATAATAATTTATTGATTTAAATTGTAATTTCATAATTTTTATCGTAATATCTTTTAAATTCTGGTTTATTTTATAATTGTATAATTAATATACATTTAACATACATATGTATATACTTACACCATACAATATGCATTAACATTTTTATTATTTTTCTATATATATTTTTATTAAACAAATTCATACAAGAAATAACAAAAATCTAGAATATAAAATTATCAACTGAAAGTTAAGTATTGTTAGACAATGCAATTTATTTATTGTAAACCCATTTGCAAGCACATAATGTGGTACACGATTATTTTTAGTAAGTGTATATTAATAGTTATATTTGTTATACTTTTTATTGGTATTGGAATGTGGGAAAGAAACAGTTAATTAAATGATTTGATTAATTTGTATAATGTATATTTAGACTATTATTGTAACAGACATGCAGGCAGGCATGCAGCCATAAGTGTTAAAAAAGTAAAAGGAAATTTATTTTAAATAAAAATGTTATTTCTTTGTTCTTATAACGGGCATATATAAAACCGGTTTCCGGTTTAATAATTATAATTTTATTCTCTTTTTAAATATTTATTTTTTCTTCACAGAAAGTTGAACTATAGGTTTAAACAAAGGATTTTCATATTATGGTTTATAGTTGAAAAAAAATAATATAAATATCTTGTATAAGAATTTGATTGAATACCATTTATCAGGGTGCCACCTATAATTAATTAATTAAATTAAAATTAATATTAGGTATAATGAAATTTTAAATGTTCTTATGAATTTAATATAGGGCAATTCATTTAATATTAATTTTCATTTAATTGTTAATTCATACAAGTAGCACATACTGAGCAAGCAGTATTCAAAGACCTGCATTTATAAATATATATTATGTATATATATTATGCATCAGTTTAATTTTCTAAATTTTTTGGTATTTTTAAAGTATAATGCAAGAGCAATTTAAAAAAAAAATTTACAAAAAAGCCAAATTGAAATTGGCGATTTAAATTTGCTCAATTTTTTCGACAATATAAAAGGTACACAACACATTTGTTACCTATATACTTGTACATACATACATACTATTGTTTCATAAGCATATGCAATATATACTTTGATAAAAAAAAATTTCAAACAAGTTTTTCATTATTCTTTTATAAAAAATACAACAACACACAAAAAAAATAGAAATAAAAACCACCAATGACGGATTATTTAAATCGATTTCGTAATTTAATTCTTCAAGTAACTTAATACAATTACTAAAACTTTCGTACTCACAATAATGTTGTAATGATTAAATAGATTTCTTTTATGCCACAAAATAAGTACAAGCAATTGTACACCTTATCTACCCATTTATTTAAAGTTAAAAAATTGAGTAAAATTAAAAAAAAAAAACAAAGAGAAAATTGAAAAATAAAACGCGTCAATTGCTTTTTAGATTATTTTCAATGCTTATTGCTAAAAATTTTGTGATTTGTGATTTTTATTTCAGTGATTTTTACTTCATTTACGCATAATTGTAAAATTAAAATAAAATTAAAATTTCTTAAATTGTTTTCACTTACATAATTTCTTGTATATTTTTGGATAAAGGCATTAGTTCTGTGTACTTATAAGTTATTTTCTTGGAAATGGTTCACTTTTTAAAGAAATCATAACAAAAACGCGAATAGCTTTAATGAAATTAAAATTTCGTAATACTTTATGCCACTTTTCTTGAAAATTAATAAAAGAAAAACTTGTTTAGAAATCTTGAATATTTCAACAGTTTCTTAAAAGATAATGGGATGTGCTTTTCATTTAGGATGAAGTAAAGTTTTGTTTACTCTCTCTCTCTTGTTTAGAATATATTGAATTATTTTATAATTGTTTGTAGCTATATACATATATAAATTTTTATTTACTTTATAAATTTAATTAAAAAACTTAATTTTTTATCTTTTGCAGGTCATTTTATCAGTTTTAATCGCAACAGTCACGTGTCAATATAATCCAAATTCAAGGACAGCTGCTATTATTAGTGAACAAAGATATTTATCAGGTGATGGTAAATTTGGTGCTGCATATACACAAGAAGATGGCATTAATTTTAAAGAAGAAACTGATGCCGATGGCACACGTCATGGTTCATACAGTTATGTAGATCCCAGTGGTCAAAGAAGAACAGTATCATATACAGCTGGAAGATTCGGGTAAATATAATTTTTATAATACAAAAATATATTGATATTATATTAAAGAATTTTTTTATAAAATATAATATAGATTCCAAGCATCCGGTGATCATTTACCAGTACCACCACCAGCACCACCACAGCCCGTTCCAACACCTGGATATCAACCAAATCCAAGATATCAACCTCCATCTGGACCAGCACAAGGTTTTAGCGGTGATTATGATAGTGAAGGTCAATATGATCCACGTTATAATGATCCAAATTTTGAAGGAAATAAATTACCACAATCTCATGCTGCTCCACCACCACCACCACCACCAGTAAACATTCATTATCAATCTACACCAGCACCAAACTATAATTATCAACATAATACACCACAATATAATCATTATCAACCACCAGCACCACAACAACAACAATATCAACAACATTATGAAACAACACCAAATCCACACAGATTCTTACCACCCGGTAAATTACAATTAAATAGAACTCCAGATGGTTTTAGTTATAGTTTCAACAAATTATAAGTAAAATTTTAATTATTTAAAATAAAAAAAAAAAACAAATTTTTTTTTATTCGTAATTTTTAAACGTTCAATTGTCAATATTATTTAAATTTATTAATTTTATCATTATTTTATCAAAATTTTTGTTTCTTATATAATTTTCTAGTTTTATGAATAAAATAAAAATTTTTAATTTATAGTTACATTTTGAGAAATTTAAGTCAATCTAAAACCATATCAAAGCATAATCGATTTTAAAGTACTGAGTTCGTGAATTTATACAAACATACAATTTAATAATATAACAATGACAAAATCAAGCGTGGTGCCAAACAAATCTGGATAAAGAGGACATGAACATAAAATCATTTTAATTGAAGTTTTGTGATAATATTTTTATAAATAAGTAGCTGTCGATAAGAAAAAAAAAATCAAAAATGAATTACTTTAAAAAAAATATTAATAAAGTTTTACGAAATAAATTTATTATGACTAAAAACAATATAATGATGTTTTATTTACTTAGCCCACTTCAATTAAATTCGAAATAGCATATAATGCGAAAAAGCACATAATACTATCGTATATAAAGTATATACTCGTAGTAGCATCCATTTTTTCCCTTTTGTATACGGCAGTGTTTCTAAAACAACTTTCCATTTATTTCGGTCAATGTTTTTCTAATAAAAAATTGTAATTAAATTTTCTAAGAAACCTAATTAATCGTATTTTAATTAATTATTATTGTAATTACGAGTACTATTATAAATATTTACTTAGAAAAATATCCATCTGTTGGATAATGTTAGGTGAACCGAAAGAGTACCAAATATTTTTATTAAAATTTAATTTAAAAATTATTGTATTAAAACCGCTTTTGCGATATTTATATAACTCTTCAAATTATGTGGGAGCTCTGATAAGAACTTATGCAACTTCAAAATATTGGTCATAATAGTACACTTGTTTATGCTAAATTTCGGAAATTTAGTTTTATATACGTAATACTTATTGAGGAAAAAAACATTTTTACGTACCTTCTCTACCGTTTCGAATTTTTTCCCTTCAATGTGATAAAAATAAATTTTTTTTTAAATTTTTTTATACGAGTATAATGAAACATTTTTTAAATTCATCAAACATTACAATGATAAAATGGCTACCGAAATCAAGCGTTATCTTAGCATTGTTTTACTTCACGTCAAGTTGTAGTAGTCTAATACTTTAACAGTTTGTAGATTAATTTGATCGGAACTTTACTTTTCTTAGCTTTCAGCTTTTCGATTGTTAAATATTAATTTAATTAACAGTCGATTCGACTAATATATTAACACTTCTTTGAATTTTCATTCATTTTCCTGAAAATATGCAATTTTTTTCATTTTTCATAATAACAGTCTTATCATGTATGTCGCTTTTTCATCTCCCTAATTTTTCTATTTGAAATCAGAAATTTTCAATTTTTTAAAAATATTTCATTTTTCCAATAAAATTATTAATTTTTTCATTCAAAAACCAAGTTAATTAAGTTTTATATACGAGTACATTTTAGAAAAGATAAGATACGCATTACGAAAAATCATTAACCCTCTACTAACTAGGCAAGTAGAAAAAAAAACAGTGAGGTACACAATCACTCCTGAAATTCTGTTATACGCATTTGAAATAATTTATGTAATTGTATATATGATTGTTTTTTAAAACAGAAATATTCTAATTTGTTGAAGGGAAAAGTGCTACTCTGCAAACCATTGATTTGACCTATATTTATTTCGTTTTGAGAACCGTTAGAAGAATAAGTAAAAGAAATATTATTATTCTACATAATACAATTATAATATAATAAAATATGGCGATTAATTAGGTTCCTCTGTTGTAACAGAAATTTATGAATTTTCTTTAACATTTATTAAATTTTTTTAATACGAGTATAACTAAAAAAGTTTATCATTACAACAAATGACAATTTTATTTTCACACTCTTTCTAAATGTCAAATTGAATTAAAATTTTCAATTTATATTTATATAAGTACTTAAAATCCTTTTACACAATTTAATGTGAATACATGCTATCATAAGTACATGCATACATACATATATACATACATAAATAACTGTAAACTTTATTTTAAAGACATACCGCATAATTATTAAACGTCAAATTTGGAAAAACAAAACAAGAAAAAAAACCAAGTAGAAGAGAACAGTAGAAAAAGAGAAGAAAAGGTTATTTACATATTTGTCAAAAAAAAAAAAGAAAAAACATAAGATACGACTCTGGTGAATACTCGGAATTTTGGCTCTTAAGAATTATCAAGAAATTTACAATAAAATCATAAAAAGTAAGAATGACATATAAATTTCTATTATTTATTAATTTATTTATTTAAAAAGAAAATCATTTAAGTGCCATTAATTTCTTAAATATTTTTATTTTTTATTAAAAGAAAAATTATCTACATTTTTACTTATATATCTTACTATACGATTATTCTCTGATTATTTTTTTTTTTATATACGTATATGGTAAAATTTCATATGAAAGTTTGTTTGTTTATATTTTGACATTTCTATTAAAGTTAACTTATATGACTACATAAAATATTAGAAAAATTCCAATGTATACACGATGCGAGAGTTTTCATTTCAAAATCTCTTGTATTCAAAATCTTCTATATATACTTAATAAAAAAGCTTGAATTTTTTTTTTGGACTTGCGCACGATTTTCTACAACCTTTTTTACATTCCATTATACATACACCACAAGAAACCCCTTTAATATTAGAAACAAACAAAAAAATTAAAATTTTTACTATTATTATAATTTAAAATTTTACTTTTAATATAAAAATTAATTTAATATTTTAATTGCAATTAAAAAAAAATTAATTAAATATCAATTGTGAATTCCAATCCAATATAAAATTGAAAAGAGTGTATTAAGTTGAGCATTGATAGTAACACTGTAGATTTTCTGTGAAAAAAAAATTTTTTTTTTTTTGTAAATATAAGTAGAACGAAGAGTGGGCTAAATTTTTTAATCATAAAGAAAATTTTAAGAAGAAGAGATTTTTGGAGTTTTGTTTTTCTTTTTGTATAAACTTTGAAAACATTCAATACTTAATTGCAATAAACAAGTTATAATTTTATTTTCCCTCGAATTTATTTAAAAATTCATACATATATAGTGAATTTTATTTGTGATTTTAAATTTATATATTTCAATAAGTCTATATAGATATAGATTTATATAGCATTATTATTGATTTTTCCCAAATATAACAAAATATTTGAAATTTTATCTTTAAAGAATTGTATGTGTTGATATGAATGTCGGTTATTTGAAAACAAATGTATAAATGTATGTTATTTTTAAATATTAACTTCTGTTTATAAATTAATAAACAAATTAAATTGATAACCTTAAAAATTCATAAATTACATATAGTTATAAAATATACACACAAGATCAAAATATGAGTTGAAATTAGTGAAAATCATATATTGTATATGAGTATATAACAGTATAATATTAAATATGTAAAGTAATTTGTGTATAAAGATATAGATAAGGTGTACCTATATACATAAATATAAATATTAGAAAAGCGTATAGTTAAAATTATCAAAAAACGGAAAAAAAATTTTCAAATGTATATAAAGTAAGAATATTATGACTGACGAAATGTTGAATTCAACGAATTCTGTAGCAGATCATCATCATCAACAACAACAACAGCAACAACAACAACAACAACAACAGCAGCAACAACAACAACAACAACATCAAAATAACAATAATGATGAGTTAAATTTTACAACTTTTATGGATTTATGTAGATTCTGTTCAATTAAGAATGGTCCTAATAAAATACATCTTTTTGATAAAGAAGCTGAACAAAGAAATTTACTATATAAAATTAGAACTTTATTACAAGCTAATGTAAGTTTCTGTATGCATACATACATACATGCATATTCGATACGCAAATATTTTATAAACATGTTGCTTTTTCGTAATAATTTTATTATGTAGTATATATAGTTATATATTATGTTGTTAACTCCTTAACCCAACTTTAATCCAACTATGTATATAAAAGAAAATTACGATTTATGAGAAAATTATTTTATATTCATTGAATGAGATCAAAATAAATACAATCGAATTCAATATACATTTGAGAATTCTTATAGGTATTCAATTGGAAAAAGGCTAAACAGTTAAAGTATTATACTAAAGTGCACACGATATATCACTTAATGTTATGGTGGAAAATAAATTTTTAATTTACAATAAATTAAAGAAATGAATTTAAATACATGAAATTTTTATTACATATTCCATAATTGGTAAAGTATAACAATTACATTCAACTCTGCAAAATTATTTCTTTAAATATTTACAATTTTTTTTTTCTATAAATGATAACAAGATTACGAGTATAAGTAACAATAAAATTTTAGGCGGAAATGGTATAAAAATTTGTAAATAAATTTTCACATGTGAGAAAATTGTAAATAATGTGTACAGACTGTTGAAGGTCACGTTAACAAGTTTGTCTACGATTGATAAAATTCTGTAGAATATTAGGGTTGAGATGCAATAAAATATTAAGAAATGAAAAGAAAACAAAATATTTCAAGAGCAAAAGGCAAATTAGGATTAAAAAGTCGCTTTAAATTTTAATAATTCTACATTTTTTTTTACTTACATATAAAAAATTTAATTTTATAATTCAGTATAACACTCTTGCTATATTCAGCCCACAAATATTAAATTATAAATTTAGAAAACACATTACTATTAGTAAGATATTTTGAAAATTGAATTGTGGGAAAATTTACAAAATATTTTATATAGGATAGAAAAATTAATTAAAGAATTTTTGAATCACATATAGAGTGAATAAATGACATTAAAGACAGTGATAATTGATAATTTAAGTTTATTTACAATTTTTAAATTATACTCCTGGTACTCTTTATACGCAAGCCCTTTTTCAAAAAGTTTTCGATATAAACAATTTTTTAAAATCTAGTATTCAAACAATTTAAAGAAAATATACAATTTTAATTATATTTCAAAATGTGTAACAACTAATTTAATTCTTATATTCTACTTGTAATTTTTACAATTTTATTTTATTATTTTTAGATTGCAAAAGACGACTTCTTGCCAAAGAAAATTTGTGAACGTTGTATAATTAAATTAGACCAACTTTTTGATTGGAAGAACACCTGTGTACAAGTAGATAATTCACTGAGAAGCTATGCAGAGTCTATGCGAACGGTAACTGCAACAATAAACTTTCAGGTAACGCAAACACAGGTGAGATAATTATATAAGGCCAATTTTAGTTAATGAAAAAAATAAATCAAAACAATATAGTAAATAGATGGTACGTAGCAAATTTTGAATGATTTTTTTCATATTTAAATTTAAAATTACGAAAAAAAATTTATGAAAGTAAGATTTCCCGAATTTTCATTAAAATTTGTTTAAATTATTTTCGCTCGAATTATTATACTCCAAACAATTTTGTAATACAAGTATCACCTCACTTGAAATAAAAATTTGTCATAACTTAATTTTAATTTTAAAAGTAATTCAGAAACTTTATCAAAGAACCAGAAAAATGCAAAAATTCTTGTATGCATATTTATGTAATGTTGACTCATTTATATTTAACAGTTTATTGAATATTTAATTGCGCCATCTTTTGGTCAATATTTAACAATCTTTGATTTACTTTCCCATTATAACAAACTAAGTAAAATCATTTTTCGAATATTGACGCAAAAACTGATATACAAATATTATCAAAGACACGAACCCATATTTAAATTTTCTATATTGTTATTACAGTTATAGTATAACAAATAGTTTAAATTGTTATATGGATACTTTTAGAATTATTATTCTTAAGCAAAAAAATATTATTAACCAACAGCTTGTTATTGCTGATATTTACGAAGTCAAGTTACCAGAAGCGTTTGACAAAAAAAAATTTTTCAGTAAATGACAAAATTTTTGTTACAAAATATTAGTTTCGTTTTTGGATGTTTAATTACGCAAGAATATTTATTTTATGTGGCTGGGATTATTTATATGCCATCTAATTAGAATAATGTTAATAAACTATAAAAAAATCTAAAATCTATGGAGTTCTTAAATGCTTAACGCAATTAATCGAAAGACTTAATAGGGCCTCTATCGAGGTACAAGGTACACAACACAATTTTTAAAAATAATCTAATTTCTAAAAACACTAAACCTCATTTAACGTATAAGATATATTATCGAATAAGATCAAATTGAATTTATATAATACTTCATACCTTTCCGTGAAAACTGTGTTAAAGATTAACAAATTATTATTAAAATCGAGTTCTCATAACTTAAGAAAGCGTTTTAATAACAAAGAATATCACAGGAATATTTTTACAATATAGGCTATAGACTATATTATGATATAAATGAAACATGATACTTTTTAAGTCAGAACAACTTTAAAATCAATTCGATTGATGTATATACAAGGGTAACGTAACACTTTAATAAAAACGCGGATCTTTTAAACCGCCTACCAGTATTCCTATTTAAACTTCATAAAATCCCGGTAGCTTCATACCGTGTATAGATAAATCTTATTATTTATATTATAAGAGGTGTGGACAATATAGTTAGGATTTTTTTTGCTCAAACATATTACGTAAAATACGATACTTTATTAATCGCGTAAAAGAAATGTTTGAAGATGAAGCAACAATATTGGATCTGGTTACATCATTTTTATATTCTTTTTGCGAATCATTTTATTGTTAAAAGATTTTTTTTCAAAAACTTCAATTTTAATTAAAAAAAATTGTATTTTCATTTTATTTATGTAGATTTTCCGAAAAAAAAAATCAATTTTAAATTTACGCAATGTTGAAGTTACTGAAAAATTGACTGTACCAGATAAACTAGATAACAGCTCTATAAAATAATAATGAACGAGATAACATTAGTTTTTCTATAAGTGAAAACAAATTTTCAATTGCTATCTTCTACTTGTATATCCGTCAAAGCACATCCTTTTTATAAAGTGCAAAAAATGAAGTGAAATAATTAGTAAAAAATAAAATAGGGAAAAAAGTTTAAGCAGGCAACTATAGGATTTTTGTCTTTACGCATTTCAGGTATAAACGTATTATATATAATTTTCTATTTATACAAAATCAAGAGGACTTCAATAACATTGTACGAAATTTTGAAGAATATGAAAAGGGTTAAAGAGAACTCTTCAAATCTCTCTAAAATTTATTTACAAGAGCAGAAGAAAATATACGAGTGCTACACTAATAAGTAAATCGTATAGTTTAACTCAATTTTTTTTTATTGCGTTTCAAATGGTAATTCATTTAAGTAAATTATTGCAATAAATCATAAGCAATTGTGAAATAAATAATAATAACAATAAATAATTAGCAAATATTATTAAGGAAATAATAAAAGTCTTGTTAAAATTAAGGTCTCTTTTTTTTCAAAGACAAACTCCAAAACTCAATATTTATATTAAAGCCAAATAAAATTAAATTAAACAGTTCTAATATAATGAAATGCAAGCTATCAAATGATTATTTTAGAAATTTATATGGAAATAATCAAAATATATAATTATTTTAATATATTAACTTAATAAGTTTGTATAGAATTCGTATAAAATAAGAGAATCCAAGAAAAGGTTGATCCTGATATTAAAATGATCAATTTAAACTACCTCATTTTTGAAATTAATTAAAAGTTATTATAAACTTTGAATGAAAATTTGTACACAATCTTTCTTTCAAAGTAGTAACTCATATATGGCATAGTTTGAACACAAACTCAAATATTTTTATATAAAAGGGTACAAAGATTTAAAGTCACCAATTTTATAATTGACATATGCTGTTGTTCAGTGTTGACGTTCGCTAAATTATATTTTAAACATTATTTTTTAAAAATTTCATATGAATTTGAATTGTATAATGCATATGTATGTGTGTATGTATGTATATATACATATATATGTATGTGATTATTAAATTTGTCTTTTTAAACTGAAATCTCATTGTTTATGATTTATAGGGTAAATTTAATGCTGATTATATTTTATTTTTGCAATGGAGTATGGAATTTGTTCGTAATATACAGGGTGATTCAGCGATGAATACAATATTATATTAAATATACCATTATTTTGATTATAAAGAATCTAAACTTAATAAAACTTTTATTTAGAAATATGTAGGTGTAAAATCACAACGATTTCCGAGACACATTTTAAAAATATTTGGCCAAATTTTTACTTGATTCCAAAAAAAATTTAACATTTTCATGGGCGCTATTTCAATGAGAAATAATAAAATTCGAAAAATTATTTCTTAAATTATAATTTTTTTGTTGTTTTGAAACCGGAACTGTTTCCAAGCCACAGAAACTTTAAGAAAATTTGGGCGAAATTTTAACATACTTAAGCTTTCTTGCTTATAACTTCCGTTCCAAAAAAGATAGAAGTTTCAAACAAATAGTTTTTAAAAGAGCTTTAAGAGAACAGGGGGTTATTTGGTTTTACATTTTTTTATCAGAAATACAATCATTCGAACTTTAGAAAAATTCTAATTTCTTCATCTTTTATTTTTTTACTTTTATTGTCCCGACAATTTCTCATGAATTTTTTTGAAACTTTCAAAATTCTCTTTACAGAATTTCGCCCAGCTGCTTAAGCTTTAATTTAAGTTGTTAGGCGTTAAAAAATCTGGTATACGGCTCATAATTTGTTAGTTACTCACCCTGTATATGTGCAAGTACTCAAGAAATATGTGTATAATGCGAAGGTCCTTAAATATGCATCACTGAACAAAAATTTTGATTTTTAAAATTAACTAATTTTTTTTTAAGTAAAATGACAAAATTTTAAAAATATTGTAAAAAAATTCACAATTTTTTCTCAAAAATATTTAAAATATGTATATTTAACATTATTAAATATTCTATGTGTCTTCATTATATCGGCAGATATATAAAATAAAGCAATAAACTTACACTTACATTTTTAAGAAGCAATATGTATAAGGAAGCAGAAAAATAAAGTGCTAATGAGAGAATATCTTATATATAACATAAATTAGATGTCCTATATTCCAGAGCCGGTTCATTGTTTTCATACTTACTCATGAAACTATAAAATTTATTTACTAAAGACTATACCCACAGCAAAATTCATTTATTTCAGTGAGAATAAAATTCAAAACACATAAAGTCTAATTGAGTGTGTGAGGAGAAGAAATTCTTAATACACCATGTTGAAACTAATTATGTAATAATTGAAGATTAATACGGTATGAACAAGAACAGAGTAGGTTATTCTTAGAATTCGTTGCAAAAGATCAGCCTTATAACACCGTTAACTGGCATTTTTGTAAGACTAAATCAGGATATTCAAAATATGACTACATGGTGAAATCTAGTATATATACTCGTTATTGTAGAACTACATACCACACTCTTGAAACCACTGTTATAAGAATTTCGTTTAAAGCTGAAACACAATTATGCAATCGCAAATGACAACTATGCAATACAATTGAATGTTTTGTTTTAAACATAATTTGATTTCTATTTTTACTTCAATTTCGCTAGTTTATGAAAATGTTCACTAATAAAGATAAATATTGCTTAAATAATGTTAAGTGACATGTTTCATCACATACCTAATACATATGGGGAAAAAGCCTTTTGAAGCCTACGAAAACAATAATTCACCGCTTGAAATTTTATCACTGTTACAAAAATAAATATTCTATGTAGTTGTAAATAAACCTTACTAAAAAATGGAATATCTCATCTCTCAATTAACACAAAAACGGATTGGGAATCCGATTTCTTTTTTCTTAAATATATTATAATATAACTTTGGTTTTTTTTTTAGGACGGCACAGTAAACATGGACAAAATGACAGTGGCACAGAAAAATTCTTATTTAGAGGCACATATGGCTGTTCAACAGCATATGACTCAAGCTTCTATGCAATATAAACAACAACAACAAAATGATGGCCCAAGAAATGACATGCAAGATTCAAATAGTACTAACCAACAGTCCTCACTCCAACAACAAGGAAATAACCAACGGCAATCTAATAATAATAATAATCCACAACAAAATCAAGCTCTGCCAACAACAACAGTAACACCAAATGAACCTCATAATTATGTAAATGCAATAAAAGTGCCTCAAGTTAGTTCGTCCAGTTCTGGAGGAGCTGAGAGTACATTTACAGTTCCAGATGATGTCGGTATGGGTTTCGAAGGTGGAGTCAGAGTCTTACAAAGTCTAGGATCATGGTCACCTGAAATACCATATAATATACCTAGGCCAAATTTAATACCTTTTACAGAACCATATGTTGAAGGTGGTTCAATGCATCCTGCTAGTCGTTTAAAAGCATTACAACAAGTACAACAAGCATCCTGCGGTATTAGGAAGACAAATACATCTAAAAGTATATATAATTTTTAATATTTATACAAATATATACGTACATGTATGTATTGAATTAATTGATTTTTTTTAGCAACACATAAAGCTTTTGAATGCTCTGTTTGTGGAAAGGGATTAGCTCGGAAAGATAAACTTACAATCCATATGAGAATACACACAGGAGAAAAGCCGTATATTTGTGAGGTCGGTATAAGCATTTCCTTTGAATGTAATCTTTTATATGATAGTTTTAAATATGAATGTTTTAAATGACGCAATTATTGAATATGAGAGATACGAATTCTATTAAATTCTCAAACGAAATCTCCAAAATTTTAATTTTTAATATACTTTTATACTTTAAACTTTATAATCCAAACTACTAAATGTAAGGAATAGAGTAGGATAAAATCTGTTTTCACCTTTTCTGTAGTTAAACTTATTAGTACAACATATTAAGGATATTTGATCATAAATAGCATAAATTTGTTACAATAATCACGATTACATTGCGAATAATTCCAAAAAGTTTTTCTAATTAAAATTTTTATATGTTTTAGGTTTGTAATAAAGCTTTTGCTCGCCGTGATAAATTAGTCATACATATGAATAAATTTAAACATGTGACGCCAACAAATATCGCTCCATTAGGCAAAAGATTTAATAATCTGGTTAAAAAGAAAGAACCAGATGATGATAACAAAAATTCATTAGATCAAATACAACATCATTCGGCACAACATAATATTGCTGTAGGAAATCCAAGTAATCAACATCCTCAATCGAGTACAGCAATTCCTGGCATAATAATTCCACATCATCATGAACCACCTCAATTATCTTGGACATGTGAATTATGTGGTCGAATGTTTTCAACCAGAGACGAATGGTCATTACATGCAAAGAGTCATTTAGAGGTTTGTAAAAATAAAAATTTAAATAACGTCTAACGTGCTAGACTCGATAAATTCGTCATATTAATAATTCACTTTGCAATTCAGTTTTTTACCTATAATCGTACACTAAATCTGTTTTATAACATCATTTATTTTAAATGGAAATTGTTTATTCTTGAATTAACTCCATTTTCACAAAGGTATACTGATTGCATCTTTTAGAAAAAAAAAACTGAATCAAAAAATGACTAAACAGGAAATGAAGGCAGTATTGTTAAACATTTTCAAAAACCAATGCTTAATTGAAGCAAAAATGTAGGAGTGATTAAAACGTAAAATGAAATTACGTCACGAAAAATGAAGCAGGGTAAATTCAGAGTAAATTTAAATTTAAAAGTAGGGTTAGACCAAAGCCACTCTCAATTTTTTGTATTCTTTTTTTTGTAGTATAGCTTCATCATTATAGAAATTTCCTGGTGTGATTGAGGAATTCTTTAAAAATAAAAATTCGATATATTCGTACATATGCCTGTATACCTTCCATTTGAACAATAAAAGTCATATCGATGTTCATTTAAAGGCGCTTTCAATAATATTTAAACGACTTCTATAATTTTTACACGAGCATATCAAATTTCTGTGCTCTTTTAATTTCAATTACTTAAATATTATTATTTCATTACCTATACTATAATCACTTAGTATATATGAAATAATTCTCAAGAAATAAGGGGTCTTAAGAAAACTTATTTTTAACAATAAAATATAAGGGAAATATTTGTTTCAATCAATCTGTTGATTCATTCTTGTTATTCTTTGTGTGATAAAATTTTAGTGTACCTTATTTAATATTTGTGTAAAAAATTATTAAGGCTTTCAATTAATTCAGTAAATGTATGTTAATTTAATATAGTTTGAAATTGAATTATATTTCATTCCACCAAAATTCTATTCAAATCATGCACTTTGATTGGGTTTCTTTTATTCAAAATTACATAGATCAATACAAACTTGCAATAATAAATGCAACAAGCAAAAGAAATGAAAAAGTGAATTGGTGAGCATTTGCTGAAATGACCGATTTTTGGAAAAGTAGAAAAATTTTATACTAGAAAGACTGCTAGGATACGTCCAATGCGTTTATTGCCGCAATTCGTGCGAATATGTGTTTCATAAAATAATGCTTTGTGTGAAAGTTTACTTCACATAATTTGTGAAAGCTTACTTTCATACATTTTCTTAGATAATTTTCTTATCTAAGAAAATGTATGAAAGTAAGCATTGACATAATTGCATTTTACAATAATGATTTTAGTGTTAAAGCTGAGTAAACAACATTTTTGTTTTTTGCTTTTTTGGAGCATTTTGGGGGACGCATAAATTTCGAAAATTAAAAGAGGTTCTTGAGCATCCATAAATCAAATAGCTACATTACTAAAATAAATTTATAGTTTTTTACAAATAGCAAATATTTTTACCGAACATAATTTTTAGTAGCCAATGTGCGTCAGTTTGATTAAGTTAATTAATATTATCAATTTATTATTTTCAAATAAATATTAATAAAACAATTTGCAAATTAGAAGCAAATAATGAAATAGAAAAAAATTTTGTTCTATAACATTTAAAACATATTTGCTCTGAAATTTACTCACATTTTTCTTATTCCAGAAGAAGTAATTTTTGCAACATATGAATAAAGTAAATCCGTTAACAAAAAAAGCGGCGTTACTAATGTTTTTGCTCCCTTAAACAGTTATATACATTATACATTTTATTAAGCTTAAACTGCTAAGTGGATCGTAATAATTACATAAACTATACGATGTAACTGTTGTTTGGGAGAAGTTATTAGTATTTTAAAGCGATTTTCAAATAGTTCATACGTTTTTTTTCTTATTCTTAAAATTCTGGAACATACATATAAAAAACGAATATCTCAGAGATAAAATTATTAATAAAACTTGACTAATATCACTTATGTTAATCCCTAAAATCATAGAATTAGGTTTAGAAAAAAATTATATTTTTACATAATATTCTCCATTTAGATCTAATTAATCTATAGAAAATTATGACCACAACAATAATATACATGCATGCTGCTTAAATCATACTGTTACCAATTAATAACTGAAAAAATTGCTTTATTGTTTGTTACGTTATTCACTTAGATATACCATATTCCATATATGCACCCTAAAAGTTATTCAACATAACAAAAATACATGTACAGTAGAGGATTAAAAATTTTACATACCATCTGCTAAATAAAGAAAATTTTTTTTTTTTTAATTTTTTATACTTAAATTTTACTGTGCGAATAATTTTTTTTTTTTTGAAAATGAATATGAAAATTATTGAAAAGTATAAATAAATCAATGCCAAAATTAACGTTTATAATACATCTTGAGCATTTCCAAAAACAATAATTTTTATGAAATTTAATGAAAGAAAGAATTCAAGTCCTTACTAAATCATTAGTAGCAAGCACTCGTGTAGAAATCTAAAAATATAAAATTGACAAATTTCAAATTTATGTTATACTAAATCTTGTTTGTTGACATATGGAATTTCGTTTATCTTAACAATTCAACCATTCGCCGGGTTCCCCAAACTTTTTCCCCCAAAATATTTAAAGAAACACAGTATTTTTTTATACTGCGACTTCGATCGTGCTCATCTTCGATCGTGCTTAAAATAATTTAACATGATTTTACTTTAAATCAGGTACATATATATTTAAATAGCTATAGTGCTAAGCCTTTAACACACTAACAACTCTTCAAAATTTGCTCTCACATTATTCAACTTTATAATTATTTTTTTTTTTCAATTTTAGTATTGACATCAGGAAAGGGCCAGTATTGAATCAATTACTATACCAACATTTCCAATTTCTTTGGAAACAAATACATCATTAACGGATCATCATAAACCTATACATAAGAATATTAATAATATTAGCAGTAATAATAACAATAATAATAATAATATTAATAACAATAATACCAAAAATAACAGTAATAGCAATAATAACAATAATAATAATAATAACAGTAATGATTCGGTAGCTCAAAATAAAACAAAAAAATTAAACAGTAATAATCGTTATCGAAAAGAAAAATCTTTAAATAATAACAACAGTAACGATAATAACAACAACAATAATAATAATAATAATAATAATATGATTTCTAATCTTCCACATTCACAAGCACAGCTGCAGCACATTCTAAGAACTGAAGATTCAATTATCGATCAGCAATCATCATCAATTTATATATCACCTTCAACAAATGGATCTTCTGTTACGGCACATGTAGGTCAACTCAATAATTCATCATAAAAATAAACAGTTAAATCCTACAATCTAAAATAATTTGTATACCAATTTTTAAAATTATAATTGTTACATTTGTTTATTTATTTTGTTATAACAGTTAATTGTATAAAAAAAATCCGGGTTATTTGCTCACTATTTTTAATAATTGATTTCTATTGTAATTTACGAGTATATTCAAATTTCTGTTTTTCTGACAACGCAATTTGTTATTTTTGTTATCATTATTATATGCTATTATATATAAAATTATTATTATATATACTCTATAATGATTAATTTAAAAAATGAAATTATATTATATATACTTACATAAAATAATATAGGTATATAAAAATATATAGTATGTATAGATATAGATGTAAACTTTATAAGTTAAGCGACAAATTAAATTGTACTGCAGCCATATGAGAACTAAATATCCTTAAAATAAATATACAATACTTGTAGTAAAAAAAAAAAAAAACATCTTTCTTTAGAATTTTTTAATCCCTATTTCAAATACATTTCTAAAATTTGTAAAATTTTTACGAAAAACATGCTTATTATTTTCACTTTAAACCGCCCTGCCGTCTCACTATTTGTTCGTGCACAAAATATTTACAATTAATAAGAATAGAAGCTTATATTTTGTACGGAAATATGATCTTGATGAAAATATTTTTTCTCCACTATACAAGCAGGGGACTTCAAAATCGTGAATGTGAAAATTATTTTTGACTTACTGGTTGCGAACCATAGATAATTTGTAAATTCTATTAATACAGGAAAATGCTGACTTATTTTGTCAATAATAACCAATCGCTAGGGCGTTAAATGAACTATTTGTTTGATTAACAGCTCAAACCCGTTTTTTGCTCCTTGTTTGAGTAAACACAAGCAGTTCATGCAAAGAAAAATATTAACACTTTATAAATTTTTTATTTTACTTCGGTTTTACACAACTGGGAGCTTCTTTATATGATATAGTAGATATGTTTCTTGCGTCATTGGGTTTACAAGGTATAGGTGAGGAGCCTATACCGTAAACGATTTATAAACATTTAGAAAAAATTTACTTGATTAGAATTCAATTTCAATGATTTTTCTCTGACTTCAACTCATAATTCAAAAATTATTCAAATTTAATAAAACTTTTTGGTCACTTAACTTTTCAAAATATTTAGTGCCCAAAACTTGTGATTAAGGAAGAATATTGTTTCAAAATTATTACTTTAAATTTTTGTTCTCCCAAATTTATGCAATATGAATGGTATTAAGATATTTACTCCAAACGAAAACCGTTTTCATTATTTTTCACTAAAGTTTTGACTTAATGTGTTTAATGAAATAAAGTGTTGATTTTATTATTCTTGTATTTATATTTATTTTTATACTAAGTAGAAGGTGTTCATTACTTGAATTTTTTAATTGCCTCATTGTATCAATTCACAAAATTTATAATAAATTAAAAAATCACTAATGTTCTTTATATTGAAGACCTGAAATTAGAAAATTATGTAGAGCATCTCTAAGTATTTATTACGTATTTGTCAAAACTTGAAATCGAAAATTTTCAAAATTTGTGTTTGTACTCATCGGGTGTTATTCTCCCCTTCAAGGTAATTTTGAAGTAGCTTAAAATTATTTACTGGGCACTTTTGCAATAGAATCAATAAAACATCCGTCAATTGATTATACTTACCGTTTATGCATGTAACCAAAGAACTTTTACGATATACGCTTAGATATAATTAAATACTATGTATTATAAAAATATTTCGTAGATAAAAAATGTTCTCTTACACACGTACAAACAACGTTTCACTTCCTTTCTTTCTTCTTCGTAAAATAACTTTAAAATAATTATTTTATTGTTCTATTATTTAAACTTTTCATTATTATTTTAATAATAATTTTTCAATTTTTTTTTTTTAATGTCAAAATAAAGTCTTTCTGATTGTATGGGCAGGTATCATCAGTATTCAATTAGCCATCATTTAGAAGATTTTAAAAAATTCAATTTTTTTTTCTTTTAACTTTCAAAAGAATATTTCCAAAGTATAAAGGTAAAAAAAAAGGAGAATAAAAGAAAAAACTTAGAAAAGCAAGGATAATTATTAAAATGTGGTTTATGGAATTATGTTCAATTCTGTAACATTAACATATATACATACATACATCTGTATATCGGCATGTATACACTGACATACTATACAAGTATTACAATTTTTCTTTTTTTTTTGCCATGAAAACAATAATAAAGGCAACTGCATAAACATACTTCTAATCTGTTTGAAGTTATTAAAGGCAAAGAATTAAAAACAATGTCCTCTTAAATAATATATCAAAAAAGAAATTATGCCGAATTTAGATTTTTTTTTCTGTACACATTTTATTATACGCACATATATATATTAATAAATACATCGGTTCTATACATACTATAAGGCCATAATTTGTACGTTAAAAATACTCTATTGTACACTTTTTCAGCAATTACTTTTAACGAATAATTACTACTTAAATCGAAAATCGTTAATCTAAAAGGTATATCGTTTCGATATATATCACAACAAACATATATATACACCTATTTTTTGCTTTAATATATAATAATGTACCCAGAATTCTATGGATTTAAAAAATACACGTATATACATACAAATATATTTGTGAAGATCCTTTTTACAGGATTATAATATATTAAATTCGCTCATTCAAAACGATCTTAAATCTAAATATATATATATATATATACTTATGTATATACATATAGGATTTATTCATATAAAAAGTACATACATATATATTATTTTTCCAATGTATTATACGCTTGTTTGTGTTCATAGTAAAATTTATATAATAATATAAAAAGAGAAACGAAAAATCTTCAATCAAAAATCATCTACCTCTCTTACTACTTGCTTTTCTGACTTTTCATTCATATTTGGATATACGTAAATAAAAATTCGTAGAAGCGAAAATAATCCTTAGTCAAAAAGTCCTTTTTGGTAAAGGAAAAAATGTATAAACGTTAAATTTTATATTGTTCAAATTTCATTGTAAAGGTACACGTCGTAACAAAAAAATTGTTCAATATTTAATTTATTTTTTAATAAGTTTGAAAAACAAATTCTGATATTTGCAAACTAAATTAAAAAAATTTTAATTTGATAAGAATTGATTGTTCGATTTTCTTTATTTGAAAGGTTCGCTACAAATATGTGTATTAAGAGATTGCAGATTTTAAAGTTTTTCGAGCTAGAAACTTTTATATTCTTATTACACACAGTAAATTTTTTAGTAAAATAAAAAGTTGTACTAAATTATAGGGGGCTTTTCGCATAACGTAGCAAATAATTGCGGGAATGATTCTTTGAACAATTTCCAGCAAAAAATTGTATGGAAGTGGAATCGTTTTCGAGCTATAGCCTGTTTAAAAAAAAGGACCAGATTTTTCCCTCATATAAATAAATGCTTATAACTTCGGAACTATACAACATAGATTATATACAACATAGATTGCTATTTATATTCGGTCGCGCAATAAATGTAATTTGAGTCATAGTTTTTGGGATAAAGCTCGTGAAAGACAGGACTTTTGTTTTTGTTTTTTTGAAATATTTTTTTGAATACAATGAAAGCTAAAAGTTAACCCATATAACATATTGTTCTATCACTCATAGTTTTGACAGTAAAACGTTTTAAATAATTAAGTAAAGGAATTTGTATACTTATATTACAGAATATTGCAAAAACTCTCAGGTATAATAACTGTTTTGGTCGATAAAAAGCCCAAGTTGCACTCAATTTCCAAATATTTAATTTTATTATACTCTTTGCAAGCGAATGTATTATACTCTTTGCATCAATATATTTTCTAATAATAAAATTGAATTAATAAGACATATGCAAGTTTCGTTTAGAAACAAACCAATGTATATAATTTGCAGCAATTTTTTTATTTAATATTTTTTACAAAAAGGCAGATAATTTGTTTGGTTATTTCTGTTTATACTGATGCGCGAACACTATACAATGATTTGATTCCATCTAATAAAACAATTAAACAGTTTTTATTTTTTGCAAGCTGATTTCAATGAAATGGATTTGTATTAGCACGATAGCTTATATTACATATTGTGCCCCAGTACTTTGACTTAATTAATATTTAATTTACAATTAACGAACTAATTTATTTAACTTAGAATTATGTTGAAAATTCAATTGTAAACTTAAAATTAAATGCAAGTTTATTTTTGAATATTATTTCTTTTTTTTTTGTCTACGAGTGTATTTTGATTTTAATATAAAAAATGCGCTCAGATTATAGAAAATAAAAATCAAGTCAACCAGGGTATAAAAGATTAAATGTACACAAAATCATCATCAAAAATCAAACTACAACACAAAAAAAAAATTTTTTTTTTATTATAAAATTACGAACATTATGCTAAGTATTTAAAACATAAACCTCTATTACTAGTTCATTTGCTCAAATTTAATGAACTTCTTTAAAAAGAGATTTTGTTATGCTTTGTTTTCCTTTTTTTTTTTTTTTTTGCATTTTTAGGTTCAAATTGTATTGTTAAAATGTTTGGTTAATCCTCTATCATGTCATCATCATTGCTCCTTTTGTATATATAGACGCTATTGTTATAATATAGTACCTAACATTTTATTGTATTTATAGTATATTTTTCCTCCATTTTTCAATTCAAGATTGGTTTTTATCTTTCAAATAAAGTTTTTATATCTCAATCCATTTACACACATATATGTGTTTGCGTGTATTTGTGTATAAGTTTAACATGTAAAGTATGTAGGGATTCAGAATTCAATTATAATATGTTATACTTTATATTGTAAGAAAAATATTCGTTTAAATTTCGAAAGTTTATGTAGAAATTGTATAGATGAAAACTGGATCTTTATTGTATCAGATGTCTGAAAGAAATCATTTTAAAATAAAGAGAAAATTTTTTCTGATTCAAACAATATGCACTTCCGCTAAAAAATTTCGTATAATTTAAAATAATATTAAATTTTGTAATAAGAATCTTTTGATTTCAAAATTAAAAAACCTGCTATTTGATAAGTTTTTTTTAATAATTGTACAAGTTGAAATAATTTTTCTTTATATTCAAAAAAAAAAAAAAATTTAATGATTTTTAAGGTAAAGTATCGCCCATTAGAATACTCGTATTCATTTTGCTTTACATATAAAAAGTCCTTTCAAAAGCGTTTTCATTTTAAAACGGATGTTGTCTCCCTTTATATAATTTATTTTTTATTTGTTGGATACATTTAGTATAGAATTATTTGAGAAAAAATTTCAAATGGGTACGTTAAGGAAATTATTTAAATTTCATATTCATAAATAATTAAAAAAAAAACTTTGTAAATCAACGTG